CCAGATTACTCCCTGAGAAACTCTATTTCATGTGTCCTTCCTCTTCGACAGCAAAGGCTTTTAAAATACAGGCTTTTGTTAGCAGGATTATTACAGACTATTGTAAAAAGCCCAAACTCTCGTACCTGTCACTGTGGCCAGAAAAACAAATCAGCTCCCTGCTGGAGACAAAGGCTGAGAGCCTGCCCAGAAACCTTTCCAAAGTCAAATAAAAATCCTGTGCAATATCAGGGAAAAGCAGCCCAAGCTGGCAGCCCCAGTCGCTGCCTGCCCTCACACCACTGCTGTTCAATAGTCAGCACGACTATTTCTGTGTGCCCACACAATCCTGAGCCACAGTCCGATTTAGTTCGGGGGGTGGGGGGAAAGGTGTTTTGCTAAAATTAACATAGTTTAGATTTTTCATTTGTATTACCATAGCAACAAAGCACTTGGCTTGAAGTGAGACCCCGCAGGGCTCCGGGTGAAGGGCACAGTGCCCACGGGACAGACTGCCCTCGTCCCTTTGAGGGGACTGTCCCCTCCCCGCACGGAGGAGCGGGACATCGCCTGCAGGAAAGGGAAATCAGAGCGCAGAGGTGTCACCATCTCTGCACCCACGGGGGGACAACAGCACACGGGATGGGAGCGGCTCACACGGGTGACTCCTTAACCCTGGCACCGAGACTCTGCTCGCTGCTTTCAAACGGAGATTGCATCCACACACAGTAACTTCCACCCAGATGTCAAACAAGTGTCATTAAAAAGTAAAGCCAGACAATATTCTCCGAGTGTGTGACAATAATAACCCCGTGTGCGGGTCGCTGCCGTGCGCTGCAAGGGAACAAAGCACGGGCTTGGCTCTCCTGGACCCTCTGCGCAGATCGGGGACAGAGCTGGCATGGGATTTATGCTTTCACGGACACTTGTAATCCCATTTCTCCCATTTCTCCAACCAAAGAACCGCGGTGCGCTCGGCAGGGGCACAGCACAGCAGTTACCGGGGCAGCCCGGGATGCCACCCGTGTGCGGGGCAGGGCTCCGGCTCCGGCTCCGGCTCCGGCTCCGGCTCCGGCTCCGGCTCCGGCTCCGGCTCCGGCTCCGGCTCCGGTTCCGCTCCTCCTCGGCTCCGGGAGCTCCTCCTCCTCCTCCTCTTCCTCCTCCTGCTGCTGCTGCTCGTCCCGGCGCGGCCGCAGCTCCCGGTGCCGGTGCTCACCATGCACGGGGCCGGGGCTTGGCCGGAGCGCTCCCGTTCCGCCCCCGCCCGCGGTGCCGGCGCTCGGTACCGAGCCCGGTAACGACAGCCCGGTACCGAGAGCCCGGTAACGAGAGCCCGGTATCGAGAGCTCGGTAACGAGCCCGGTAACGAGAGCCCGTACCGAGAGCCTGGTGCCGAGCACGGTACCGAGAGCCCGTACCGAGAACCTGGTGCCGAGTGCCCGGTGCCGAGAGCCCGGTACCGAGAGTCCGGTACCGAGCCCGGTAATGAGAGCCCAGTAACGAGCCCGGTAACGAGAGCCCGTACCGAGCCCGATACTGAGCCCGATACCGAGCCCGGTCCCGACCGAGCCACCCGCGGGGCTCCGCGCTCCCTGCCCGCTGCCGCCGCCGCGGGCAACTCGCAGGCAAGTTCGGGCAACTTTGGCGGCTGCGGGAGATCCGCGGGGGCAGCGCCCGGCCGGGGGTGGCCGAGACCGCCGAGCCCCCGGATCGGGCGGGGCTCCCCTCGGCATCAGCAACAGGTTTTGTGTGTGTGTGTGTGCGTGTGTGCGTGTGTGTGTGTGTGTGTGTCCCTCCGCAGGGATGGAAGAGCCGTCATTCCCTGCCGGAGCCGGGCTGGCCGCGCCGCCAGCAGCGGGAGGGGCTCGGCTGCTCCCCGGGACCGCCCGGTTCGTTCGTGCCCGGCCGCTGCCCCGGCCCCGCCGCCGCGGGGGCTGAGGCGCTCCGGGCTCGTCCATCGGGTTCGCTTCGTGCTGCTCCGGGCTCGCCCTGGCCGCTCCCCGCTCCTGGGGCTGCACAGCGCAGGATGGAGGCTCGCGTTTCCGATTTCTTCCGCCTTGCCTAATCTGAAGGTCCTTTATAGCTTTTATTTTTTAAATGATTAAGGGATGTGTTTTATGTTGGTGTGTTTAGTGACTTCTGCTCGTTGGTGACTGACAGGCGCATCAAGTGAACTGTTCTTGATAGGCAATGTCTTTCCGGTAGATTTTTTTTCATTGGAAAGGACTTGGGGAGGGGGTGAGGACAGGACAAGCATGAAAGAACTCTTCCATGTCTACATACCTTCATTTCGGTAGCAAAATATTTATCGATACGAGTAATTGACAAATCCTTTACTTTTTAAAATTATTTTAAAGAAATTGCTGTGAATGTGACTTGCTAAAATATGTTGACATAAATATGTTTCACAGCAGGAGAGTAACTGCATTTATTAATCCTGATGTATTTCAGAACATTCTCCTGGGGATATAAGTTATCTGCAAAGTTATTTCACTTCTGATAATTATCAGTAGAATAAGGCTCAGCTTTATAAAACCAAACAGTGAGTAACATATTTGATATAATTCTATTTGTAGGTTGTCTTAAGATGCCACAACTGTCCAGCTCAGGGAGAGCAAGATAGAGATAGAGCATATTTTTTTCAGCTTATCTGCTTTTCAGGAGAGTTTTATTTTGTGTTATACATTGACTTTTCTAAGTTTTACTCTGATTTGGCTGGAAGTGCACTTTTGCAAGCGGAGTTGAAGTTTGAGATCTGTTCTTGGGCTGTAAGGAGCTGCAGGAGTAGGGCTTGAAGTGTGGCAGGAGGTACCTGGCAGTGAGGTAGAGCACAGAAATCCTGTGCCAGGAGGGAGCTGAGTGTGGCACTGCTTGGAAATGCTGCCTGCTTAACTAAGGAAAGACTAAAGGAGTAGGGATCATTAAATTGTTCCTTATGGAATTCTTTCCAAAAAAATCACTTTATTCGTATTCAACCTGCGCTGAAATCTGAAACTTTTTAAATTTTTCTTTTTAAACTTAATTTAAAAATAATAAAAAGCAACAGAGAGGGGTTGCAGGCACTGGAATTGGTAGAAGAGACAAGGGAGGAGTTCTGCATCTTCTTTTCAGGCTTATTATCATCCAGGCACAACTTTGAATTGTCTGCACCGTGGAGCAGGAGCAGGACTCCTTGCAGGAGCTCTGATTACATCAGAGATGCACTGCAGAATTCAAAATACTGCAGAGGACACTGGGGGGGGAACGACACTTGCAGTGGAATTTTATCATGTTTCTCATGAGTTCTATTTCTTTCCCTCAGAAGGGCATCTTTAATAATTCTTTTCCCATTGCCTCGGAGTCTGGCATCCTTCCTGACTTTTGGCTGCAAGTAAGGGCAGTACGGATTTCTAATTTGATTTCTTCACCAGACATAATGGATATCATCTTGTGCAGGACAGATTTTCGAAAATATGTCCTTTCTTATTTCCCATGCACAATCCACCCCTTGGAGCCACCCAGAGCCCTTGCCCCAGGCCAGTTATTCTGTGTTACTGCAGGTTCTAAAAGCCAGAGCCATTCCCAGCGTGGGTAATGGAGGAAGAGGCAATTCTTGCCCCCAGTAAATTCACAACGCTGCTCAGAGAGAAGGGATTTGCCCAAGAGGAGAGCACATTGTCAGCAGGGGAGCCAGGAAGCTGGAGTGGGCTTCAGGGAGTCCCAGGCATTCCAAGGGCTCAATTCTGCTCAGGAGGGCTTTTACCATTGGGCCTGACTTAGCCAGAGCAGAGCAGAGCAGAGGATTTTACAGCAGATCCTTAAAGTTCATCTTGTTTAATTGCTGGGAAGGTTGGGGCTCTAGGCTGATGTGTTTGTCTGACCTGACATTGCAGTGTGTTGTCTTTACTCCTGAAGGAATTTCTTATCAGCTGTCCCCAGTGTCATCAGGCTGCAAGGGAGGAATAAAGCAGCTTGCTTGGGCTTTAAGCTCTACAGCAAGGAGTCCTTCCATTAATTAGATCTCTCTCATCCTAAAGCAATACTGACCATCATTCCGTCGAGGCACCCTCGGAAGGAAAAGAAGAAACACGCTGAGAAATGCACTGGTTTATTTTTTCTCCTTTCTCCCTTCCTTCAAGTCAGGCCACGTTTATTATTGTCCTTTATCTCCTCCTACTCTTCCCCTGTAGATATGATGCTGCGTGTATCTGAGGCAAAGAACATGAAAATAACCCATGTGGAGCATCAGATCCTACGTGGGATTTGTAAGCTTGCCAGCTCTGGTTATGGCAACCCAAGGAGCAACCTTTCCTAAGTGCAGGCACTCAGTGTGACACACAGGGGATTCATTTGTCCAATTTATGGTTTCACACAGGTCGAGGAGCTGGCAGGGAAGGAAGAAATGCCTTTCTCTTTGCTCTGCTCTTTCACAGTTGCTGCCTCGGGGTTGCAGCGTGTGTCTGACACACGCAGAACATTTACATTTCCCTCTCTCCATTTCTTCCCATTGTGTCAACAGTGGATGTGCTGGGAGATCAAACCAGTGACAGAGATGAGCTGCCTCCTCATTTTTCTTGGCTGAGATTCAGAGGATAAGTTGTTGCTAACCAACATCATCTGGTATTACAGAAGGGAAAATGGTTAACAGCTCCCACTTATCCATATCTTATATCAGTCATACTCTTCATTCTGTTTGGACCAGCCCTGCCTTAGACATGGCTGAGGCAGAAGGGAAAAGGCATTTTTAAATCAAACAGCAGTTGGTCTGAGGGATGAAGCCCTACACAAACATCCACCAGGCAGCCCTGGTTTCCATATCAAACCTTTAGCTTGTGCTTCAGTGGCATTTCTTCTGCTGATCCATGGCAGGGGGTGGCACAAGATGAGCTTTAAGGTCCCTTCCAACCAACCCATCCAAAGCTGCCCTGGGGTCACCTGTTTGTAAGTGTGCACAGAGCTGCTCTGTTCAGCCCAAATCCTCTGGGAAGTTTAGGAGCAGGATGAGAGAGTTTTTATTTGAAGCCTTGGAAGTGCCCTTGCAGCAAGGAGAGCTCTTAAACTGAGGTGCAGCTGTGGTTTGAGACCTTTGCTGTTGTGTAATCATGGGGTTTTCTTCTCTGATAGGTATGTACCATTCCTGGTGTGGTTTATAAACCCAGCTTCTGAAAAGGAGGGTCCTGTGGCTCAGCAAGTGGCCCTAGCAGGGAGGATATCCCTGGGGTGCACATCCAAGGGGAGGTAAGTGCAGCCAGGAGAAGAACAAAACTCTGCTGCTACTGAAGCCAATCAACTGGAATATTTATTCCTTTCCTGTGAACCCGAGGCTAGAAAGCCAAAATACTGGTGCATATTTAATGTGTCTATATTGTACAATCTCCTTAATAAATAAAAACTCTTATCAAGTGAAACTCAGGGACTCCATGCACTAAGCTGAGGCTGAATGTGCAGATAAAAGGTGTTGGAGCAGGACTGCACAACCTCCTGTGGAGGAGCAGATTCCAGGCTGACTCTTGAAGTGCAGTTATTAGTGCAGTAATTAGGCAGACAAGGAGTCTGGACATTTCCAGCTCCTGTGTTTGATACCCAGTTGATCTCTGCTCACTTCATTCCCTGGACTTTACACCAGTGTTGCATGAGATGAATTCAAATAGGATTTTCCAAGCTGTCATTAGAAATTTTTGGGTTCTTATAATCAGAAGTAAAGGCAGCTTGGCTCAGCTTACAGCAAGGACAAAGCCCCATAACTGCATGTAGGGTGTCAGTGATAACTGAAACAACATTCCAAGGTTTTCATGGAAAACCTGTATTTCTTTGCAGTCTTTTGTAAATGAGGCCATATAAAGGGAGTTGCCATGTCATTAATTGTGTATAAACTCTATACAAATGTTTATATGATCACCAATACAAGTGAGCTTTTTTCCCCCAAATTGTTTCCAGATGGCCTTTTAGAAATTAGTCTTTGAGAAGTGTGTATTTACTGAATTACAACATAATTGACTTCTGATTCTTTCTATATATTTCATAGACACTAAAATACTCCGAAGTTTTATGAGTAATACTTTAAAAATTATACAATTTCATTTCCTACAAAACACATTTGAATTCCGTGTCTTATTGTGATACTGTCATCATTTTTATACCTCCATTCTGAACCAGAAACATCCACATGGAGGAATTATTCCTGGTTTCCCAGGAATTGAGACCTCTGTATCTGAGGCAGGAGAAGCCTCCAGAGTGACAGATATGCCAGGCAAAGCTCCTGAACCGGGCACAGCCCTTGGTATGTGCTGGACAAACCCAGCCTGCCCAGAAAGGTCTCTGACCACACTCAGCCACTGCTGTTTTCTTTCCAATTGCTCTTATCATTCATAAACGCTTTTGAGCTCCAAACACCTGAGAGCAGCCTGCCTTTCCTCACCCCATGTCTGTTTTCTGTTCCAGGAGACACTTGCAGGAGCAGCGAAGGGATGCAAAGTTGTCTTCCAAGATGACTCTTATGCCTGGAGAAAATTCCGACTATGACTACAGTGCCCTGAGCTGTACTTCAGATGCTTCCTTCAACCACACGTTCTTTCCAGAGTCTGAAACCCTCAAGGGAGTGTTTTACCAAAGAGCCAGGCTAATCCACCCTCAGGAGGATCTCCTCAAAGGCTTCCACCCCGACGACCGCAAGCGCCACATAATTATTAACGTGGGGGGCATCAAGTACCTGCTGCCCTGGACCACGCTGGATGAGTTCCCCCTGACACGTTTGGGACAGCTCAAGTTCTGCACTAACTTTGACGACATTCTGAACATCTGTGACGATTACGATGTGACGTGCAATGAATTCTTCTTCGACCGCAACCCGGGCGCCTTCAGGACCATCCTGACCTTCCTGCGGGTCGGCAAACTGCGGCTCCTGCGGGAGATGTGCGCGCTGTCCTTCCAAGAGGAGCTGCTCTACTGGGGCATTGAGGAAGACAACTTGGACTGGTGTTGTAAAAGGAGATACCTGCAAAAAATGGAGGAGCTCACAGAGATTAATGAACGGGAGGATGACCTCCTAGAAAATGAAACAACAGGTGAAACAGTAGAGGAGACAAAAATTGGTTTGTGCATGAAAAAGTTGCAAGACATGGTGGAAAGGCCCCAGTCTGGCCTTCCTGGAAAGGTGTTTGCGTGTTTGTCTGTTTTGTTTGTAACTATTACAGCAGTGAACTTATCCATCAGCACCATGCCTGACCTGAGGGAGGAGGAGGAAAAGGTAAGTTCGCTTTTAGGATGGCAAAGTGGTATGTGCTGGGAAGAGCAGAGCAAGTACAAGGTCTGAGGTTACTGACTTCGATGGGGATTTTGCAGCTGTCTTTAGAGGGGGGGAAATATTGTGAAGAGTAATTGGAATATTTCATGGGCATTCAGTTACTTGTAAGAGAATTAATCATATCCAGCTTTATGTCCAAAGAAAATTCTGTTAGCGTGCACTCTTCTGTACATTACCTTGTTAGACTTTGCATTTGCTATTTAGAAAGCCTGAAATTCCCGAGCAGTATCTTCTGTGGAATACGCAGTGCCTTTCTAAGGTTTGCATTTAGCATGTTCCAAACTGCCAACGTGTTTCCCCATAGCAACAGCTTCAATTCCTTTAATATTTTGGGTTTAAAAAAAAAAACCAACACAGAAGCCTCTCCTCCTGTCACCGCACCAACTAAAATAGTTATTATCCAGAGCCGATTACAAACTCCTCCTCTTTCCTGCAGGGTGAGTGTTCCCAGATGTGCTACAATATTTTCATTGTGGAGTCCGTGTGTGTGGCATGGTTCTCCCTGGAGTTCCTGCTCCGATTCATCCAGGCCAAGAGCAAGTTCTCGTTCCTGCGGAGGCCCCTGACTCTCATAGACATCATCGCCATCCTGCCCTACTACATCACCCTGCTGGTGGACACGGGCTCCGAGGGCTCCAAGAAGCCCAGCTCGGGCAACATCTACCTGGACAAGGTGGGGCTGGTGCTGCGGATCCTGCGGGCGCTGCGCATCCTGTACGTGATGCGGCTGGCGCGGCACTCGCTGGGGCTGCAGACGCTGGGGCTGACGGCGCGGCGCTGCACGCGCGAGTTCGGGCTGCTGCTGCTCTTCCTGTGCGTGGCCATCGCGCTCTTCGCTCCCCTGCTCTACGTCATCGAGAACGAGATGGCCGACTCGCAGGAGTTCACCAGCATCCCCGCCTGCTACTGGTGGGCTGTCATCACCATGACCACCGTGGGTTACGGGGACATGGTGCCCAGGAGCATCCCCGGGCAGGTGGTGGCCCTGAGCAGCATCCTGAGCGGAATCCTCCTCATGGCCTTCCCGGTCACCTCCATCTTCCACACCTTCTCACGCTCCTACCTGGAGCTGAAGCAGGAACAGGAGAGGATCATGTACAGGAGAGCGCAGTTCCTGCTGAAAGCCAAGTCTCAGATGAGCAACGAGTCACAAGGCAGCGAGGTTTTGTTCACCACTCTCTCCTCCGAGACTAGGGACAATGAATGAAATTTATCTTACTGTTTCTCTTGCTGTCGTTGCATCAGATTCCATCTTTCAATTTGCTCTGGAAGCACCTTACAAAGGTAATCCTCATATTAAAATGAAGAGAGCCTTCATTTTAGAAGCCCTAACCAGGACTTGATGTGGTTTAAGAAGTCTGTTATTATGCTGTTCCTTCCTCCCCCCCGTATAATGTATAGGGCAGAACTTTCAATGAGATCATGCAGTGGGATTTAAGGAATTAAAACTTCTCTGGCAAGAACAACAAAAAAAGAGCAACATATAATTATGCACTTGACAGGCTGTTTTGCCATTTGTAATACACATTTTTCCAACCGAATCACAATGTACATAATCATTAAACAGGCCACCATTTTTCTTGTTCTTCTTGTATATAAATAATGTAAATACATCAGAATTAATGGCTGAATTCTCTCCCAGTAACAACGCCTTAGAGCGTAATGGAAGTAACCACAGATGTTTGTCCCATTGTGCTTTTAAAAAACATCAAGTAAGATTTGTCACTCACCACAGAACCAGCTCCTTCTTTGCAAGTCAGCCCTAACCACAGCAGAACAGAAGAATCGAGCTGTTTATGGCATAACCTTGCTAAAGATGTAAATACTCAGAGCTCACCAGCTTCAAAATTGAATTGCTGTTACAGCATTGATCTGATGCCATCGAATGCAACATTCCAAGGAACAAAGCCTTGGAGTTTTGTAGCACTTAATGTTATTACCAAGAGGTGACTAGGTACAAATCCAGTGAAATATGCATGAGGAGATGCCAGCCTTCCCCACCATCTGTTCCCAGCTTCGCTGTCCCTCAGCTCTGGAAGGGAACTGGGAGAGGGCAGTTCCCAGGGACCCCAGCACTGCTGGGCAAACTGGGGCCACCCCTCCCACGGAGCTCTGGGCTCTGTGGCACGAGCAGGAAATCTGTGCCCGTGGGAAGCTGCCAGTGAGGGAAAAAGAAAATGTGATTTGAGTCATGGAGGGGTGCACTGACAGCTTTGTGCTTCTCTGTGCTCCATCAGGAGGGACTCGGGACAGGGTGTGCTTTACTCTGCCATCCCTACACACGGGGTGGTAATGGGGAAGATTTGAACTAGCACAGCAAAAAGCAATGAACACCCTAAAGCACAAGCAGGTATTGCTCATCTTGGTCCAGGCTCTGTGCTGAGGTCAGGGGGAGCACAGGGGATATTTGGGTTTGGCACAGGTTTCTGTGCAGGTTCAGGACAGACCCCGTTTATTTTAGAGGGAGTGACCCTGACTTGCAGAACGGCTCAGGAGAAAAACTCCAGAACTTAAAAAATAATTAAATCCACTTAATATGATTTAATGTATGCTTAAAGAAAAGCTGATTGAAGGAGTATCACCTATTTTCCACTCTTTTTTAGTTAAATTACTAGCAGTTAAGAGCTTGAGGAGTTTACAAGTCCCCATCACACTGACCAAGGCTTCTTTGTCTTAATTTTCAGAAATACTATTTCTTATTGGCATTTCTGGAGCAGGTTGTGAGAAATGTCGGCATGCACAAAGGTTTTATGGTTTAAATGAAGGCCAAGGACACAACATTGTCCTTCCAAAAAAAAATAAAGTCAGTTTCTCAGTCTGTGCTGTTTGCCAAGCCCACAGCATGCTGATTTTCTGTTCAAATGTCTTTAAAATCCAATTTGAAGCTGTCCTGATATGCTTGCTCCTGAAGGAAAATTCCAAAACTTTTTAAATGCACTTTGCAAATAATTAGGGCTCTAGCATTCTCCAGCCTGTGGTAGGGAAATGTGCCTATGGAACATTACTGCAGAGTGCTAAAATATCCAGTCAAAACTCTTGGCAATTAATCCTGTGCCAAAGCTGCAAATGAACCAGCTTTTCACTCTTGTTCTTCATATTTAATTAGAGTTGGACAAAAAACAGGAACATCGTGACAAAAAATTCTTCTCCCCATTTTTTAAAAAATTTCAAAACTGTTTGATCATCTGGAGCATTGGCTCCAGAACAAGTGCTATGCATCTTCTACCTTTGTGTCAGCGTTCGTTATAAAAAGAACTGGTAATTAGATGAGTCCTGTGAGCAACAGTTGCTTATCTAAGAATGTGTTTGACAGGCTGAGCCATAAATAAGGAGTTGAACATGAATATAAGGAGAAATCAAGACTTACCAAATAAAACCTAAGCTCATTTCCATGTTCTTCTAGCTAATAAATGCTGTGGGGCCATCCATTTTCTCACTGCCTTTACATTAATGCTCATTTATTTCATGTATCACTTAATTTTTTTTATCCCACAACTAGAGCTTGAATCTAAAGCCCTTGTCCAATAAAAATAAAATTCAAATATCACCCTGGAGTTGGGTGTTGGTTGAGCAAAACTGTGAAAGCATCTTGCCTGTTGTGAGTTCTGCCAGGGCAGGGACAGGGAAGCTGCCAGGGATGTCCCCACCCTGTGTCAGTTGAACTTGGCAGCAGTGCTTGACATGTGGGACTGCATGTTGAACCAACCTGCTGTGTTGTACAGGGGCAATGCTTGCTGTAGTCCTTGTGCTAAATAAATCCAGCTCAGAGGCTTCAGAGCACAACTTCAGAGTGAAGCTCACCTGCTGTGTCCCAGCTTTCCTGGGGGGTCTCAGGTGATCGGTCTATTACCTGGATTTGTAGTCAAATCCATGAAAATGATGGCTTGGCACAAAAGCTGGCTGTTTCCTGTGACACAGCTGGGGCTGTCACTCCTTTTTGGCCTTTTAGCAGCGTGTGCAGTCACCAGGACAGCTCCAATCCTTTGCTGCAGCCAGCAGGGCAGTGGGCACTGCCCCACAGCAGTGCATGCCTGCAGCAGCAGGGGCTGGCATTGCTCGGATTCCTGCTCTGGCCAGCTGCAATCCCACGGCAGGAGCTGGATTCCCTGCATCCAGAAAGGGATGGGCTCTCCTTGCACGGCCCCGGGCTCCTTCAGGAACAGAGGGGTGGAGGGTGGCACAGGGAGTGGGGCTGGGGCACAGCCCAGCTCTGAGCAGGGCCAGGCTGTGCCAGAAAGCACCAGCGAAGGAAATTATCCCCCTGCAGGAAAATCCAGATTGTACAGGGACACCTCTTCCTTGCATGTTGTCCCAAGAATCACAATCACAGCTCTTTGGGACAGAACTTTAAAATATTTTTACAAAGAATCTGTCAGATTCAGAAGAGAACAGGAAGGATCTGTAAAAACTGAGAAAGAAAAGTCCCTGTTGAAAGCAGAACTTCCAGGTAAGGTGGTACATTAAATTCCTTTCTCTGAAATCCTTCCCTTTCCAGCCTCCTCCTCCCTCAAAACCAGCACAAACCCCTTGGTGGGTGCAGCACAGAAATGAAGGCAGAGCCACGTGGCTTCTCTAGCAGCACATCAGAGGTGAGCTGAAACCATTCATATTATATCAACATTCACTACAGGTCAAGGTCTTAAAAAATTCTCTGTAGGGAATATTTAGAGCTTGTCTCCATTTGACCCTTCACAATGTAATTGAGTACCCCAGATCTCCACAGACAGAGGGTTCAGGGGTGTCACTGAACACTCAGAGGCTTTAGCAATGTCTAATTAAACAAAAAGCTCATGCAGGGCTGAATCACAGATTCCCACATCGTCAGATGCACGTCTGGGAAGGAAACCTGGTGTGCTCCACACATTCCTGACTCGTGTGGGAAGAGATTCACTGGGGCTTCAGCCTGATGCAAAAGCAACACTGCTGCAGAATTTCACACCCCTCTTTTGGGTTTTAACAGGCTGAAAAGTGGAGTAGATAATTCTAAACCTACATCGATTGAACTGGCTGTTTAATAAGAAATTAAACAATAAAAGAAGAGTCAAATGTGACGTTGAAGACCATGACATCAATCCCTGCTCACACCAACCCCTGCCCTGAGCAGCTGACCCTGCCTGGGGTATCAGACATTTCACCATTTTCACAGTCATTACTCACCATTTACTACCAGGAGTGGGTACAAAATACTGCATGGCCCGTTTTTTTTTTTTTTCCTGTGTTTTAATAGTTCTGTTGCCTACCTCAGGCAAGATTTGACAGTGGATTTAGTATCTATTTATCCAAAAAATGACAGTGGTACCAAAATATGGGGAGGAAAAGATCCCAAGTCTGATGAGCTGGTGAACCTGGAGTATCCCAGACACAGAGAGTGCAGCCTACAGAATCCCAAAAAGATCTGAAGGCATGGAACTGGAGTAATGTCACCCCTGCCAACAAAAATGCACCTCAAAAGTTCAATTGCTACAGCAGAAATTGCAAACCACTATATTTACCCACTCACTTCTTTGCTACTTTCTCTGTGGCATCTCAACCATCCTGTTCCAGCATCCCCAACGATCTCAGCATTCCTGGCACAGTAATGGTCAGAGGCAAAGCAGGAGGGGAAGGCCAGGTTAGATGGCAAATGTGTTCCCTGGATGGAAGCAGCTCCGTGTGAGTCCTCAGGACAGGGCTCCTTGTCTGGCTCTCAGTCACTCTGCAAAACCACACACCACAAATAAAGATACATCTCTACACCACAAATAAAGATACATCTCTACACCACAAATAAAATCAAGGAGAATTTTGTGTGCTGCCACTCTGAAAACGTTCAGGGTTTAGCCTATTAATTACTAACAATAAAACTAGTCTCCCCCTCCCTTTTTGCTCATTGTTTTTCTTTGTCATTTCCCAGTGTCTGACATCCTCTGAAACACTCCCTAGAAGTCCCTAACGAGATGAGGAATGTTATTAGCCACGAGCCTGCCAGGAGCATGGTGAGGAACTGCAGGACCAGGATATCAGGGGATCTTCTGCCCTCTTCAGCAGGGCTTTTATTTTTTCTTTGCCTGCAGGAACTAATCCAGAAGCAAATGTCGCTTGAACAGAAATAAAGTTCTGCCATAACTGGAACCACAGCAGGCCAATTAGGGTAATTAGAGCATATTTGCTACACTTCATAAATATTCATTCATTATCCCTGTAGCCCCTGTGACAGGAGCTGGAGCCTTGTGCAGCACCAGAGGCAGGCAGGGCACAGAAACCTGTGTAACTCTGTCAGGCTGAGGTCTCAGCTCCTCCTTTGTCAGGTCCCCTCATTAATGACAGCAGCTTTGTAGCCATCCTTAATTATGGCCATAATTTAACTCCTACATTCAGTGTGGGTCCAGAAAAACTGAGCTGTAAACCACAATAATTAGCTGCTCCAGGGACTGACCTGGAATAGAAGAAATTCCCAGCCATCATCTGGAGATTGGGATTTTTTTAAAAAAACTTTACAGCTCATTTGGCAGCTCTCAGTCATGCAAGTGAAGTGGTCAGCTAGATAATAATGTTTATCTTTCCATTAAAGATAACAATAGGATTTAAATGGTGCCCACCTCAGGAACAAAGTAGGCACCAGCATAAATTTCTGTAGTTAATTCTATAGAGAAATGAAGTTTTGACACAGAATTGCTGAATGATAAATTGAAGTGCTGCTCTCATTCTCATTAGTGATGCACCTCATGTCACAAAGCAGCTGAGAGAAATCATCCACAACTTTCACAGGGCTGGCAGCTCCCAGGTCAGCCAAGGAAAAGATGACTCTGTTTCTTTCACTCCTAAAGAAAAGCACATTTTGAGAAATCCATAAATATTATCCTCATGCAAATCAAACCCAACAGTGCAACTGCAGGTGACTTTAATTTTGGAGAGGAATATTTCTGAGGACAACACGGGCAAAGTTAAGGCTGCAAAGCATCACATGGCAGAGTGAGGGGAGGTTTCCAGAAGCCCTGAATTTGGTTGGAGAAAAACTTTCCTTTGAGAGGGACCTGGGGAAAGCTGCAGGTGCATTTTGTCCCTGCTGCCTCCTCACTCTCCACTGTCTGCAAGCACCATGAGAATTCCAGAGGAATTTCCCCATGGAAAGGGTGGTCAGGGCTTGCCAGGGGCTGCCCAAGGAGGTTTGGATGCCCATCCCTGGAGGTGTCCCAGGAAGGGCTGCAAGTGGCACTCAGAGCTCTGGGCTGGGGGCAAACTGGGCACGGGGCACAGAGTGGACTGGATGTTCCTTGGAAGTCTTTTCCAACCTCAGTGACTCTGGAATTCTGTGATTCTGGAATTCTGAGATTCTGGAATTCTGTGATTCTGGAATTCTGTGATGCTGGGATGCTGTGGTGAGATACAGTTACATTTCTGCACATTCCTGACAGGCAAAGCCAAATGTTTCCTGTAAACACAGCTCTGGTTGTTTTCTGTATTGTGTATAATTCTATTTATCACCAGGAGAGGGGCAGTGCCCCACATGCCCACCTGGCCCCAGAGGTGGCTCCGTGCTGCTGGAAGGGTCAGGAATCGCTGAGAAACATCTCAGGTCCGGGGCGTGAATCGGTGTTTGGGGAAGGGAGCAGGAATAAACCCGATCTAAGGATCTTACATTGCCATCTACGGGCTGCTCCCGGCCAATTCCTGTCCTAAGGCACCCACCTGCACCAGCCGACTTGAAAAGGCTGGATTAAATATTTAACATCCCGAGGGAAATATTCAATCCATGCGCTGCAGCCGTGGCCTCTCGTTTCCAGAGCAGGCTGGTGGATCTGCAAGGAAATGAGGATGAAGATACCATCACCATCACCTCTGGGAAGTGTGAAACTCCTGAAAATATTTATACAGCATTTATTTGGTTGCAATATTGATAAGTGATATTTTTCAAAAGGTTAAAGCAACTTTATCTAACTAAAACTAAGATTTTCAAGGTCACATGGGCAACCTAAATACTTCCATCACTCGTAAAAGAACAGCCTGGTAAGTAAAATTATGTTTTTATTTATAAAAGAAGTGACAGAATCTACTTAGAGTGATTAAAATAAAAAAGAAGATAGTAATCTAATTGAGGATGAGCTATAGAGTGTTTTAATGAGTTCCAATCACTGTCACACCTGCTACCTCCCACTACTCCAGTAGTAAAGAGAAATTGAGAGCAGAGTTTCAGAATCGTGTTTGAAATGACAACATGCAAGTCCTGGAAATGACTTCTAGAAATTCTGCCTAAAGCCTGTCTGTCCCTCACCTGGAATACACCTCTGGCTGTGCACATACACGTGTGTCCATATAAATACATACATGGAAGGGCAAGTTTAAACACTTTAATGATTTTTGAGAATTTCAAACCCTTACATTGTGAAGTTAGAAGCGTGTTTCACAAAATGAGAACTTTTCAGCAGCACCTGTAGCAATAGCACAAGGGGAATTGATTGAAACTAAAAAGGGTCGATTCAAACTAATGATAAGGAAGATTTTTATTAATGTGAGGGTGCTGAGGGCCTGGCACAGGGTGCCCAGAGCAGCTGGGGCTGCCTCTGCTGGAGCAGCCTGGGATGGTGGAAGGTGGGTTGGCATGAGATGAGCTTTAAGGTCCTTTCCCACCCAAACCATCCTGGGATTGCATGGACTCCTTGCACTGCTCCTGAGCAGGGAAATGTCCATTTCCCCAAGAGACTTCATTCCCCAGTCAAATTGCTACGGAGCCATCTTAAATTTGGAGATAACCTTTCCTCACCAGCAGGGATTTTTGTCTCCTAGCAACAGCACGAACACCTTGTGAACCAAACCACATCCTCCCCTCCCAGCAGGGCCCCGGGAACATCCCAGTGCTGCTCCTTCCTCCAGTGAGCCCAGCAAAGGGCCAGGACACCAAATGTGACATCCAGCAGCCAGCTGAGGGTCCCAGGAGCAGGACAGCAGGACAGCAGGACAGCAGGACAGCAGGACAGCTGTGCTGTCACAGCACGTTGTCACAGCCTGCTCCCCTGCCCCGTGCTGCTCTCCCCATGCTGGCTGTGGCTGCCTCTGCATCTCAGTGGACACCATCATCTGAATTATCCCCGAGGAACACTAGGAATAGTTTCTTCTCTAGCTGGAGAACTTGTACCACAGCAGGACTAGACTGAATTTGTATCAGCTTGCTTTTCTGGTAAGGTTCACATGACAGCCATCATTTTGGAGGGCAGCTATTTTTTGTTCTTAGCAGGAGTGTGAAATATCAGAATTGCAGGTACTTCACAATGAAGACAACAAGAGGGCAGAGCAGCACCATCACACTGACACATTTCAGTTGGCTCTGAGTCAATCACTTGAAATATATTGTAAAGACCAGCTCAAACGAGCACAGTCAATGACAAAACTGGAGAATGGGCAAGCAGGGGTGATTTTCTCTTCCTGTGCTGAGAGCAGAGTGTCCCAGCTGCTTTGCTGCTGGCAGGGCAGCACAGAGGGTGCAGCTTTGCCAGTGCTCCCATCAGAGTAGGTGCAATGCCCCACTGCCTTGTCCAAGTCCCACAGACTGTGAATTTTAGCTATTACAACTGTTCTAGAACATCCTTATTCAATGGTTCCTTGGAACCTGCTCACTGGGGTGAGATTTCAACACAACACAGAGCACAGACTGGGGAGAAGTGATGTGCACCAGAGCAGTGCAGAATAAAACTTTGTAAACTCTGCATTTCTTCTCTGTCCTTTGCCTTATTCTCTGCCTCTTTTCCTGCCCTGTACATATTTCCCTACTGAGATGTTGAAGCTGCAGAGGGAAGTAAAGCAGCAGGGCTGGTATATTTAACCAAGCACCACAAACCACAAAAGGTTAATGCCCCAAACCAATTCGTGTGTGCATTTTCCTGTTGTTTATATTGCTCCAAATTTTGTTACCCTAATCCACGTTAATATTCATCTCCATTTTATTTTATTTCCCTGATCTTTTTTTTCCAAAAACCTGCACAATAATTTGTTCAAGGGACGTCAGTTCTTGCTTAGCTTGAATTGCATCTCTCAAGCTCGGGAGTGCTGTGGTTTTATGAACTTGCAGTGCCACCTAGCAAACAGCCCTCACATTATTTTTTTCTGTAGTTTCACAAAGGACAGCTCAAAGCTCTTGCATTAAAAAAAAAAATAAAATAAAAAAGGACAAACTTCTGCTTGGAGTATCTTAAGGACCTAAGGCAAAGTTTTGTTTTTATTAGAAAATGCAACCCCAGGACATGGAGGGTCAAGGACAAGGTCTTGTCCTGAGCTCATCCCCCTGAAAACACAGCCCAGCCACACTCAGAGCTCCTTGGCCAAAGCAGCTTCTCTTCATTCACGATATCAGCAAACCCCAACATTTCAGCAGGGCTTTGGCAGCAATACAAATCATAAAGTTGTAGTGTTTCTCTGAGAATTTCTAAGTAGAGTTTCTCCCAGTGAACAGAGAAACCACTACATGTTAGGAATTCACGAATTAAAGCAAGTCAAAACAAAAGATAAGCCTGCAATAGTAAGAATGTTTGGGCTTAGTTGTGATTTTATGGTCTTTGATTGTTCAGCCTATCTTTAAAGAGTCCAGCACTGCCAAGGTCTGCATTTACAGAACACATAGGCAGAACAACCTCAGAACAAGGGAAAAGACTGCACACACATTTCCCACACACTCAGATTTACAATCAAAGGGTTTTTCCCTTCTCCCCAAATCCTTGCTTGGAATGACTGGAAGGAATCCTTTAGTCAGGTGAGAGGGATGTGTGACACAGCACCCACTGTGAGGATTACAGAATTACTGCTACTGCTGCCTTCTACACTTCAGTCTCTTCTTGACATCACAGAAAAGGGAAATCACACTGAAGACAGAAAAATTTAAAGCCCCCCCGGTTTCTAATTCCCAGGAGAGGAAATTCCCAGATTCCAGAAACTTCCTGAGCTGTGCCTCCACAACCCAGTGACTCTTGGGCACACACCAACACTGAAATTTACTTTAAGTCCTGGCCTTTCATGTTTTCATTGTCCTCTAAACTGCAAGATCTGACTCTCTGTTTACAAATTCACTTTTCCTTCACGAGGCTGCCATTGCTAGAAGCACGGCATGTTGTAATACAGCACGGAGTGTGGCTGTTCTCCAATTTATTTTACCAAAATACACCTTTTCAACTACTAATTATAACGGCATTATTCTTTCTTTTTCCCCGGTGCAATGTGAAGATTAGTCATGACAGGTGTTTTTTTCCTCCTCAGGAAGTAAAGAAATCCATACCTTAATTAATATAAGGAGATAATTACTATACTGAGGTGATGAGGCCTCAGGCAGCTCTGTTGAAATGCTATTTATTTCTCTTTTTTTTTCATTCAGCTAAGTACAGACACTCCCCAGATGTGCAGAGCTCTTCATGCCAGCCAGCAAAACCAACTGGGGAGTTGCAAGTGCCACAGCAACAGGGAGAAACTCAGAAAACTCAGGTTTTTGTCCTTGCAGGAGGGAGGGTAAGTGTCAATTTTTTTCTCTCTAACCTCCTCATTATCTCTCAATCTCTGAAATCTTCTAAGCACTGACAAAAGCATTTTCTGTCTGTTTTACAAACCTTCAGGGTTCTGTCTCATTACCAGTTAACCCCAGTTTCTCTAGTCAAGCTGGGGAATGCACTGCTTTGCCATCCCATAAACGAGGATGGATGGCTCTGGAAGTTCTTAACACCTGGAGCTGCTGCAGTGCAGAAATGCACACGGCTTCTAGAGAGAACTGACAGGAGTTCACCACCACGTTCACCATTAGTGCTGTCCTGGAAATTCCCTGGCACAGATTAATTAGTGCTACAGACCAGCTAGAGATTACCAGTAATTATTTTTTTATTCATTTCATGCACTGTTTCAATTTGTTAAGCAGTTTAGAGACTGAGTAGAAATATGATTCCCGTGTTTTGCTGTTTTGCAGGTTACAATTGCTAATTAGGATATTCTCAATCATCACGTGCACAAGTCAGTAGTTATGCCAAGTTTTTACTATTGAATCATAACCAAGGAACACATTTCTTTCCACTTTCATGGATTGATTTACATTTTTATAAAAATAATCAGCTACAAAAATACGCATTTTTCTTGGGGAAAAAAGAAGGTAACACAAAAAAGCAGTATGGTATTTTTGTCTGTTTTTTCCATGTGATATAGCCATTACAGAGAGAAGATGGACCCCTACAGAACTTACTCTGAAAACGTGTGGTTTTTTTCACCACTTAAAATTCTAGTACTGAGGAAACGTTGGGTCAATTTTAGCGGCCCAAGCCATGAGCCCACCTTTAATATCCTTAGCTAACACAGAACCAAATTCTTCGGCAGGCAACTCCCGCAGAACCTTTACGGCCTTCTGGGAATCATTCCCTAACTTACAAACGACATACACGGGGAGAGAGCTCTGGCCGTCAGTTCTCTGCTTTTCTTCGCAGATTCTTTCCCGCAAGAGCTGCAGCGCTTGCTCGTCTCTCTGCTCCAGGCTCCGCAGCGGGATGTGCAGGGCGTGCGGCAGGCGGCAGATTTCCGCCTCCACCGGCGGCCGCACATCCAGCAGCACATGCGGGACCCCCGCATCCAGCAGCTCCTTGTATTGCTGCACCGACAGCCTGTCCCCACCGGGCAGCAGCCGCACAGCCCTGCACTTGTCCGTGGCCGAGGAGCCGCAGAACGCCTCGTAATCCTGCAGGCAGGTGATGCTGGGCTTGTCCCCGCACACGGCACAGTCCGCTTTCCTCGGCCGCAGCTTGATGTTGCGGAACCTCCCCTCGAGGGCATCGAACATCAGCATGTACTGGTTGAAGGAGGAGCCCATTCCCGAGGCGATCTTCAGCACCTCCAGCGCCTGCAGGCAGCCGATGATGCCGGTGACGACGCCCAGCACGCCGCCATCCGCGCAGTTGGTGACGGTGTCGGGCGGGGGCGGCTGCGGGAACAGGCAGCGGTAGCACGGTCCGCCGCCGTAGTTGTACACCACGAGCTGCCCCTCGAGGCGCAGGGCGCTGCCGGACACCAGCGGCTTGCCGGCCAGCACGCAGGCATCGCTCACCAGGTAGCGGGTGGGGACATTGTCGGAGCAGTCGGCCACGATGTCGTACTGGCGCACGAGGCGCAGCGCGGAGCGCGGCCGCAGCGCCCCGCGGTACGGCACGTACTGCACGGCCGAGTTCAGCCGCCGCAGCGCCGCGGCCGCCGAGCGCGCCTTGGGCCGCCCGCAGCGCGCCTCGCCGTGCAGCACCTGCCGCTGCAGGTTGCTCGTCTCCACCACGTCGTGATCCAGCAGCCCCAGGCGGCCCACGCCGGCCGCCGCCAGGTACTGAGCCAGCGGGCAGCCCAGCCCGCCGCAGCCCACCACTAGCACGGAGCTCCGCGCCAGGCGCAGCTGGCCCCGCACGCCCAGCTCGGGCAGCACCAGCTGCCGGCTGTAGCGCAGGATCTCGGCCGCGCTCAGCGCCTCCCGCGCCGGCAGCGGCGGCAGCTCCGCGGGGAAGCCGAGGGCTCCCTCCTGCTCCTCCTCGTCACCATCCTCATCCTCCTCGTCGGCATCCCCCGAGTCCCCCCGCGCCAGCTCGGCCGCCAGCCGCTCCCGCAGCCCGCGCGCTGCATCCTCATTCTCATCCTCGGCATCCCCCGCGTCCCCCCGCGCCAGCTCGGCCGCCGAGGGCTGCCGCAGCCCGCACGCTCCTTCCTCCTGCTCCTGCTCTCCGTCCTCCTCCTCCTCCTCCTCCTCCTGCTCGGCCGTGTCCCCCCTTGCCAGCTCGGCCGCCAGCCGCTCCCGCAGCCCGCGCAGTTCACGCTCCCGCCGGCGGATCTCGGCCCGCAGCCGCGCGGCCGCCGCGCCCGCCATGGCCGCTGTCCCTGCCCCGGCCCCGCCGCTTCCGCCGCGTCACTGCCGCCATGGCGGCGCGGGGCCCCGGCCGCGTCTCCGTGCTGCTGCCCACCTACAACGAGCGCGATAACCTGCCCCTCGTCGTGTGGCTGCTGGTGCGCACCTTCAGCGACAGGTACCGGGGGAGACACGGCCCGGGGAACACAGCCCGTGGGGACACAGCCCGTGGGGACACAGCCCGTGGGGACACAGCTCGGGGCCGGGGGACACAGCCCGGGACAGGGGGGACACAGCCCGGCACGGGTGGGGACACAGCCCGGCACGTGGGGACACAGCCCGGGACAGGGGGACACAGCCCGGGGCCGGGGGACACAGCTCGGGACAGGGGGGACACAGCCCGGGGCCGGGGGGGACACAGGCCGGGACAGGGGGGACACAGCCCGGGGCCGGGGGGGACACAGGCCGGGACAGGNCAGGGGGGACACAGCCCGGGGCCGGGGGGGACACAGGCCGGGACAGGGGGGACACAGGCCGGCACGGAGCCGCGGGATGGCCCCGGCTCGGAGCGGGACAAACGCTGGCGGTGCGGGGTTTGGACAGGGCTGGGCGGGGACAGATGTGTCTGTAGGGCTGGAAATGCCCAGAAAGGGACACGGGGGCGGCACAGGTGGGAAGGCAGTGACACCATCGGTGCACAGACAGGTGTCCCCAACCCGCAGCGAGGCACAGAATCACTGAGTTGGAAAATCCCTCCCAGAACACCGAGTCCCCACCGTGCCCCATCCCCACCTTTTCCCCAACCCGCAGTCACAGAAAAACTGAGTTGGAAAAGCCCTCCCAGCCCATGGATTCCCACCTTGTCCCCAGCCCAGAGCTCTGAGTGCCACCTGCAGCCCTTCCTGGGACACCTCCAGGGATGGGCATCCAAACCTTTGCCTGTTCATTGCGAAATCATTCTCGTTTCAGTGGCATCGATTTTGAAATTATCATCATAGATGATGGAAGCCCCGATGGGACACAGGAAGTTGCTCAGCAACTGGAAAAAATATATGGATCAGATAAAATAGTGAGTTGTGTGTTCGGTAATATTTTCTGTTTGATTTTTGGTTTTGGTTTTTTTTTTTAATTGGAAAGTACTATAAGTGCTTGAGAACTGGGATGGATTCCCTGGGTTCTGCACTTTCTTCACATCCTTGAACAAGCTGTTGTACACCACTTTAGACAAGTGTGAGCTCATGATAGTTCATAATGCTGCATTCTGACCAAATGTGCAAACTCATGAATTGCTTGCAAAATGTTGTCAGTCCTTGGTGCATTGCTGTGTGCTGAGCAATGACTGGGGTTTGGATAAGATTTAGTTTCATTTTATTTGACAGCAGGAGTAAGGAAATCAGAAAGATAAAAGCTGGGCTGGGATTATGATTTATTTTTAATGTGTCTCATTGCATTCCTCAAGAACGGGAGTTTTAGATTTATTATTTTTGTCTATGTAATATATTACAGGATAACTCTCAGTTATAGACAAGATGCTGTCATTTACTTAGTGGCAGTCAGATACTTTTCCAATCTGTTACTGTGTAAATGCCAAGTTTTTTAAAGTATTTCTGGATTAAGTTGCATTTATGAAGATTGTTTTAAGAAAAAAATATACAGGAAGTTTTAGAGTCTTTTTAAAAACTGTATGGCAAGTAATTTATGTGTTTTCTCTATCTCCTGTAGCTTCTGAGACCCAGAGCAAGGAAGTTGGGCCTGGGTAAGTCCTTATTAACTCTGATTATTAAAAATAAATAAAAGAATCTGCTGGATGCTTTGATTGATCCAGTGTATAAAGGTCCAGAAAAAATCACAGTAAAGCCCAAAAGCAGAAACACATTTTCATCAAGTCATTTGTAAACTTAAAGAAAGAAACTTAAAAGATGCAACTAAAAATCCCAATGTGTTTATAAAACATTTCCCAGAACCTCAGACCTGATCCTCCCTCCTGCCCTGCACCCACTGAGCACAGACTGGGGCTGGGAATTCTTGGTGATCATTTGGAGCCTTGTGGTGCTTTGTAAATGACGTTTCAAGTAGTGACCCATCCTCAGGTGAAGTTTCTCTGTGCATTTGTGTGGTAAAAGAGTGAGGACAGTTATTTTTGTTTCCACCAGGCACTGCTTACATCCATGGAATGAAGTATGCCACTGGGAATTTCATTGTTATTATGGATGCTGACCTCTCCCACCATGTAAGGCTGCATTTATGCACTGTGCCTGCAGTCTCTTATAATTCAGGTTTCAGTGGTTGCTGTGATTTTAGCCCTGCCCTGTTTTCTGATCTGTCTTCTTTTCATTTCAGCCAAAATTTATTCCAGAGTTTATCAGGTAGGTGCCGATTATAGTATGAAAGTTGATCTTTATAAATTATTTATGAGGCAGTCTGTGAAATTCTATGCCATAGTGGGTAAAAGATAATTATAAGATTCCCTGAAGTAGCTCTTTATAAGTAGCTCTTTATTCTCTTTATAAGAGAACAATTAACTGTGTTTGAATAATGCTCACAGCCACCCTAACTATTGCTTTCCTATCTTCTTATTCGTTCAGAAGTCTGTAAAATACAAATTTTGTACTGAAAGAGTGATTGTTCTTACTTTGAAATTTGTACTTTGAAACATTCCTCCAGTTTTTCTGATAAAACAAATTGTTTACAGAAAGCAGAAGGAAGGCAATTTTGATATTGTATCTGGAACAAGATATAAAGGAAATGGAGGAGTGTATGGCTGGGATTTGAAAAGAAAGTTAATCAGGTTAGTACTTTTCAGCTCTTCACACAGAAATTTGTTATTTGTAAATTATAATTCCAAGTACTCCATCCTGTAAGCTCTGAACTCTTCAGTTCCCAGAACTGCTGTACTTGCTGGCACTGCAGAATCCCACTAATACCATCACTGGCCAACTCTTTGGTCAAGAAGGACTGGAATGACATGGGTGGGCTTGGAAAAATGGGACAGTGGCCTCAGACTGGGACAGACACCCAGTTCCATCATCCAGGGAACAAGCTGAGACTCAGACCTGGCAGCTGGGAGGGACACCTCAGCCTGCACAGCTGGAATGCTCCTGTCCCTCCCAGAGAACAGGCAGGAGTTAATGCTGATTTATTTATCCTGCAAGGAATCTGGAGCACAAGCTGTGTTAGAGTCATCTCACAGGAACTGGGTTTGGATTGTTCCTGGTTTTTAATGGCTGGAGTAAGTGCCCATCTTCTTGTACTAAACAACTCTGACACTGATGTTTTCTTTCACAGTCGTGGAGCCAATTTTCTGACCCAGGTCTTGTTGAGACCAGGGGCATCAGATCTAACAGGGAGTTTCAGGTAAGGGTCTGGTTTGCAATTCCTAAAGTTTATTGGAAATTAGGAAACTGCTGGACAGGGAACTGGAGTAAGAACAGACCTTCATTACTGTGGACTGTGAAATCTGTTTGGAAAGGGTGGAAGAAACAGTGGATTAGATTGCAAGAACTGCTGCTCCCATGACCTCGTTAGAGAGTTTTATAAATAGTCATGAGCTGAGTGATTGCAGTTCAGGTTCCTACACACTGTCTGGATTTCTAAATCCCAGAAACTGGGCTTCAGGTTATATTTCCTTTGGAATTGTTGACAGGTTGTACAGAAAAGAAGTCTTACAGAAGCTGATAGAGAAGTGTGTTTCTAAAGGCTACGTCTTCCAGATGGAGATGATTGTCCGGGCCAGGCAGTTGGGATTCACCATTGGAGAGGTATGGGGCAAGCAGGGAGCAATGCACTGTGCTTCCCTTCCCTTCCCTTCCCTTCCCTTCCCTTCCCTTCCCTTCCCTTCCCTTCC